TGGGTAAATATGATAAGATGGATGGTACATTAAAAAGTGAAGAGCAGGGCTTTTCCAAGCTGATTTACATATTGGTTACTTAAATTACTCCTTAATTTAGTGCCTGCTAATAAACAGTGCCTTGGAAATGTTTTTGGAACATTTATTGGCTGCAGTAATTCCACGTGCAGTGTATTCAGATCACATCCTCATTAAATATTGATGTGCTCATGAAATGTTGATAGAATGTTAATGTGAAATGCCAGGGAATGTCCTCGGTGGGAGCTACAGGCTGGCTGAAAACTACCTGTCTCCTGTCTTTTCTTTCTGTTCTGTCTTGTGCTGCGTTTCCCCCTTCATTTCCCCATCATCCAGAGACTCAGATTTGCTCCTTGATGGGGCTGTCTCAGATACAAATATTTTCAGAGAGAAATGAAAATTCACTGATGGATGGGAATATAGTTGTTCTTCCCTTCTGCTTTTCTGAACTGGAATTTTTGGTTAGAACCAGAAAAGATTCACCTAAAAGGAAGAAGGTGATTCAGGTTCAGTTGAAGGAGACTGTTCACATTCAGGCAGAATTCCAGAAAAGACCATGAACAGGAGCAGAGCCGTTCAAGGACTCCATTGCTGGTCCTTTCTGCTTGGAAAGGAAAAGGGATTTAGTTGGAGTTTATGATGAGCTTTCTGAGAGAAAAAAGCAACTAACGCAGAATGTGTGTTGGCTAAGGAGACTGTAAGAAAGAATTTTTACAATGAATCTTAAGGACAGCAGAGGCTAGATTCATGCTGAGGGTCAATGCATAATTATTTATGTGAGCATGTGCTGCGAATATTCCATGGACAGAGGAGCCTGGAGGGCTACAGTCCATGGGGTTGCAAAGAGTCGGACTTGACTGAGTGACTGAGCAGGCATGCACGTGCTGCAGTTGACAAGTCCCACAGAATGGGATAGTTCATCAGCTTCTTGGACAATCATAAGGGTGATAAAGCAACGATGATGAAGGCTTTGAAAAGTGCCCCTGATGCAGCAAGTGGAACTGTTTCTGTTGTGATTAGGGTTAGGCATACATGTGATGCTTGCTGGAAATAACATCCTCAAATGGAAACGGTTGATTTGTTTGTGTGGCACTGTCAATGCCTATGATTATGTGTGTGTATATTTATGTGTGTATTATAGTGTTTGTGAGGAAAACAATGGGGGCACATTTGTTTTGAAATTCTACTCCTTTGGGTTTTTTAATTTATTTTTGAAGTGAACTATTTTTAGTCTTTATTGAATTGGTTATAATATTGCTTCTGTTTTATGTTTTGTGTTTTTTTTGCTGGTGAGGCGTGTGGGATCTTAACTCCCGGACTAGGGGTCAAACCTGATCCCCCTACATTGGACGGCATAATCTTAGCCACAGGACGGCCAGGGAAGTCCCTACTCCTTTGTTTTTAAACCATTCTCCGTATACTGTGCTGCCACATGTTACTTTGCTATTTGGAGCCCAGTCTGTGTAAATAAAACAGCACTTTCATTTACTTTTCCTTCTTCCCCTTTTAATTTTCTCCTTTTTTCTTCACTTCTTCCAAATAGTCTTCCTGTTATCTGTCTTTCCTAAACACCTTTCTGTATTCATTTCTTGTGTGTTCTCCTTGCCTTTTTGATCACTTTCTGTGTGATGAGTGCACCCTTGCAGTCAGAGCTGAGCCGCCTTCGTCTCTGCCAGGGATGCTATAGGCCCTCCGCAAGGACTGCACTTTCTTCCTTCGGTCCTACTATCCATTCTTTACACTTGCAGGTCTTTCAAAATAAATCAGGCCATGTTGCCCACCTGTCCAAACCTCCAGGTTAGCATCTCAGAATTTGAAAATGACAGCAACTGGAGCCCTGGGGCAGTGGTTTCAGCCAACCTCTATGCCCTCTGGCTCTCTCTCCCCTGCTCAGGCTCCTGGAATCCAAATACTGCCCTGCACAGCTCCAGACCCCTCCGCATTGTGGACCAGGCCATGTGAGGAGAAGGTGTCTGAAACACACCCTACTCAACCCAGTGGCTCTGTCCTTGATCTCTGCCTGGAATATTCTTTCGGCTAGACCTTGACATGGCAAACTCTATCTCACCTCTTGATTTCTAATAGTCACCTGGTTATCTGCACTCTCCTCTCCAGGTCTTTCTCGTTACTCTTTACCACCTCAACCAGTTAATCTTTTTGGTAGCTCTTGTTGTAAACTATAACTACCTCTTTTTCAAAAAATATATTAATTTTTTAATTGATGGAAAATTGCTTTACAATGTTGTGTTGCTTTCTGCTGTAAATCAACACAGATCAGTCATGTGTGTGTGTGTGTGTGTGTGTGTGTATATCCCTTCCCTCCCTCCCCTCCCTCCATTCCCACCCACACTTCTCTGCTCTAGGTCATCACAGAACACCAGGCTGGGCTCTCTGTGTTATTTAGCAACTTCCCACTAACTCTTTTATACATGATAGTGTATATATATATCAGTGCTACTCTCTCTGTAATTGCCTCTTTTATTTTGTCTGTCTCCCATGATTAGAATGGATGCTCCTATAGGTCAGAGCCCTGGTCTTGCTCTCCACTCTATGGTCCTAGGCATCTTTCTGATAGACAGTAGGTACTCAATTACTACTGTTGATTGAATGAATAAAACACGATTTCTTCCACTGAAGAGGTCATAGTCTTGGGGGAAAACCACATAAGTCGGTGCACGGCATTGTGGTAAACGCTTCTGGGAGACACCTACTGAGGGTCCTATAGCTTTTAAGGACATTCCAGACAACCCCACTGGGGAAGTTATAGGGTGCTTCAGAGATAAATAAGCTGATTATTCTTTTTGTCAATGTATGAATTTGAAGTTTGGCAACCTTAATTTTTTTTTTGTTATTGTTATTTTGTGTGCGTTAGAACAGCTGCCTAATAGCCCTTGATTCTTGAAGTAGGGTTTTTCCTCTTTTGTTTTACTTTTGTTTAATACATGTGCTGAATGGCTCCCTTAGTTATGGTAGGAATATCTCAAACCAGCTTAAGGAAAGAAGAGAATTTGTTAGATGGCACAAATAATTTTCAGAGGGAGGGTTGAGCAAATAAACCATAAATTTGGGGAGGTAGTTTTGCTCATCACTCAGCTGCTGCCATGGCCACCCCTGCCTCTCCTCTCTGTTTTCCCTTGCATTTTGACTTGCTTTTTTTTTTTTCCTTGCAGACTCACTTTCAGGTAGTTCCTACACTCATACCTCTTGGGTAGTATCAGCATAGTTGGGCCAATTTTTCCCATTTTGGTGATAAGTCTCAGGGAAGGACTCTGGTTGGTGCATTTTGTGTCACATGCCCGTTGGGTGTGCTTGGTCAACTAATGCCAGGGGTGAGCTCTTGTAAGAACGTGGAAACTCCTGTGGGAAATATGTGATTAAATATAAGAGCTGAACCATTAAAAAAAATGGAATAATACCAGTTGCAGCAACATGGATGCAGTTAGCAATTATTAAACTAAGTGAAGTAAGCCAAAAAGAGAAATACAAACACCATGTGATGTCACTTTTATGTGGAATCTAAAATATGAAACAAATGAACCTATTTTGAAACAGAATCATGTGGTTGCCAAGGGGGAGGGGGTTGGAGGGGAGGGATGGAGTGGCAGGTTAGGATTAGCAGGGTCCCATCACTTCATGGGAAATATATAGGGAGACAGTAGAAACAGTGTCAGACTTTATTTTTTGGGGCTCCCAAATCACTGCAGATAGCGATTGCAGCCATGAAATTAAAAGATGCTTACTCCTTGGAAGGAAAGTTATGACCAACCTAGAAAGCAGATACATTACTTTGCCAACAAAGGTCCATCTGGTCAAGGCTGTGGTTTTTTTCAGTGGTCATGTGTGGATGTGAGAGTTGGACTGTGAGGAAAGCTGAGCGCTGAAAAATTGATGCTTTTGAACTATAATGTTGGAGAAGACTCTTGAGAGTCCCTTGGACTGCAAGGAGATCCAACCAGTCCATCCTAAAGGAGATCAGTCCTGGGCGTTCATTGGAAGGACTGATGCTGAAGCTGAAACTCCAATACTTTGGCCACCTCATGCGAAGAGTTGACTCACTGGAAAAGACTCTGATGCTTGGAGGGATTGTGGGCAGGAGGAGAAGGGGACGACAGAGGATGAGATGGCTGGATGGTATCACCGACTGGATGGGCATGAGTTTGAGTAGACTCTGGGAGTTGGTGGTGGACAGGGAGGCCTGGCGTGCTGCGATTCATGGGGTCGCAGAGAGTCGGACATGACTGAGCAACTGAACTGAACTGAACTGAAGCTTTTACATGGTTTCCCTTATAGCTCAGTTGGTAAAGAATCTGCCTGCAATGCAGGAGGCTCCAGTTCAATTCCTGGGTTGGGAAGATCCACTGGAAGGGAAAGACTACCCACTCCAGTATTCTGGCCTGGAGAATTCCATGGACTATACAGTCCATGGGGTTGCAAAGAGTTGGACACAACTGAGCGACTTTCACTTTCTTTCAAGCTTTTAGATACAGAATGGGGAGACAACAAGGTCCTACTGTATAGCATAGAGAACTGTATTCTATACCCGATGATACACCATAGTGGAAAAGAATATTTTTTAAAAAAAGAAAGAAACTGTAGGAGCTGAAGTTGTTAAAGGAGAGCTGCTATTCCCAGGAAAGGGAAGATATGACTGGGAGAATAAGAGGGTGGTTTTGTTACTTATGTAAAAAGTCTTTATTGTACTATTTTTTAAAACTCTCCATGGGCACCTCTGTGTAAGTGGAAACTGATGAGCAAAATATCCTCTTACAGAGTTGGAAGTGGTTTTAGGAGATTTGGAAAACAAGAGAGTTTCCAGCCCTATATACAGAGGCTATACTTAGAGTACAATTTTGTTCTGCTCCCAAGAGACCTAGTTTGGTGGTCTGGAGTGGATCTGTTTCTCTATTACAATACAGCCAACACTTTTGATGTTTTCTGTAAACTGACTTACCTTTCTGACCTCTTTCCTTTCCTGCTTGCAGATTGTGCTTGAGAATAGTAGCCGAGAAGATAAGCATGAATGTCCATTTGGCCGCAGTAGTATAGAGCTGACCAAGATGCTGTGTGAAATCCTGAAAGTGGGAGAGCTGCGTAAGTACCCTCGTTTCCCACAGGGTATGAAACTTGGCAGAGATCCAGTTTCTGGGGTTGCTCTGACCTACAAGCAGGGTTCCCAAGGTGCTGACAGCTGAGCATGGGCATCATTCCCGTGGACCAAACATTCTTTGACTCAGGTTTCCCGTGTATGTATTTCTGCATGTCTGCTCTGGGAATAAATATTAAAATCTACAGGAATGGAAAAATGTGTGGGTATTGTGACCAAATTAAAAATATTGTAAGAGTGTATATTGCTCTGTTTAGGAAAAGATCTATGGGTTTCTTCTTAAAAATTCATTTTTAAGCTATCAGTAGATCATTTTCTTTTTGCTTTTTGAAACATCTTTCTTATATAAAGAAAAATTGCACACTTTAATGAAATTCTCTTGCTTCTGGTATCTTACTTCCTTAGAATCCTTTCTGTATGAAAGATAGAATTTTTGAAGGAAATGAGTAGCTGATCATGAAAAATGTGGTCAGAAATATGTTTATTGCTCTTTTCCTTCCTTACACAGTGTTACAGAATTTAAGAGAGGATACCTAGAAATAGAGAGCATGATAATTTTCTTGCCTTTTGCTCCCTGGCATAATTTGGCTTTAACCAGTTAAGGCAAATCTGATTTAACCTGGCCTACAATCATTGTTAACACTGAGTCTCCCTATAGTAGCTAAACTCCATTCCCTATAACAGCTATAGAGCCGACACACATATAAATCTTTTCTTGTAGACTTAATAACATAGGCACCAGCGAAAGCTATTTATACCAGAGGAATGTCTAGTGTTCGGTATTATTATGAAAGCATAAATATTTAGTCACCTGTTTGAGAGTGTAAAATAATGGTCTGTAATGATTGATGGGGAGGAATCTAAAGGTGAAATTGAAAAGGGGGTTATGTTTTATTTACAGTGTAAAACTGACTACCATCACTGCTGAGGTAAATTTTAAAATGTAGAACTTAATAAGGAAAAAGCTAAGAATTTGAGCCTGTTTGACCAAGAACAGCAAGTGTTATCATCCTCCCAATGTGGGTGGGAGAAGAAACCAAAGTGGGTGTGGAACTCCCATGAAAATTCATTATTTATGAGCCCAAATTAGGTCATTTTTGCATTAAAAGAGTAACAACCTATCCTGAGAGATGTCTGTGTAGTCTGCTTAGGTTCACTTACCACCAGTGCTAACATTTCATTTTTACCTCAATCCTTGACCTGAGTTATCCTTCCTACTCTTCATTTCACTAACTTGTAGAGATTTATGTCTGCTGTGTAGCTTACTAGGTATTCCACTGAAGAATTAAAGTCCTGAATCAAAAAAGTCCTCCTGAATTCCTCAGTCTGATAAGCTTGACTATTTCCTGTTTATCTCAATTTGATGGGGAAAAGTATAGACAGTCACTTGCTAAAAGGCACTGATGACTATCCAAGATTTTCAGAAATGAGAACAGTCACGCTCTGCTTGGCGGGTATATCCTGTGTCCAGATTACTGCCCTGCAGTGTCCTTTTCTTGTCCTGCCTTCATTTTTGTCTTCCCCAGTGGCCTGCTTTGGCTCTCTGCTCTCATCTTGATGATGGCAGAAGGTATGCTCTTGTGTGCTTTGAGTGTCATACCCAGCTTTCTGCTTTTCTCCTTTGCCCAATGGACATGTGTCCATTATGCTACAAGTTAGCACAGAACGGAAATATGGTGGACTAGAAGGAGAATGTTGGGGACAACAGGCAGCAGGGTTCTGTCTTGGCTACTTATGACATTTGTGTCCTTGAGTAATGAGTAGCAGACTTCACTACGTGCTCATATTCCTACCTCTGCCTGGTGTAGAGCACCCGCCCCAGATTTTTGAGGACCTGGTAGTCAAGCCAGGAACCAGGAGAGAATCCCATTCCTATGGGCTAAGGTAACCAAGTAAGAATGAAGGCAAATACCTCTGGGATCCCTGGAGGTGTTCCAGACACTATGCACCATTTCAGAAGGTGAGAACCTTCTGCTGCAGAGAAGGCCTCCAACATGCTGCTGCAACTTGCTTAGCACCTGCTCAGGTCTGGTTTCTCACATCTCCGTGGCAGGCTTCTTTTTGTCTAAGATGACAAATGCATCTATTCATTCGTTTAATAAAAATCTACTGATTAATTACAATATGCCAGAGACTATGTTGAACACTGTGGGTACAAAGGTAAACCAGATATGGTCTCTGTCCCCAGGAGTCAGTCTTCCACTTGAGAAAGTATATGGGTTGAAACTGATGTTTTTTCCTCTTAGTTATAAATGTGTGTTGATATATTCATAAATATTTGTATATATACACCCATTATCTGATCTAAAACATAATTTTCAAATTTCGATAGTCTGAGCTTTCAAGTTGACCTGTTGTTCACCCTCTACTGAGTGCAGAGGCCATTTCCGACATTTTGCAAGCCTACCAAAGACCCCCACGTTTCTGAAGTCTACATGCCCAAATTGGTTGTTTTCTACTCATAAAATATTAAAGGATTGCTACATTCTGATTGAGTGCTAGATAGCAAATGATGAAACACCCTGGAGTAAGAGGAAAATTGCTTTTTAATGGATTGCCTTTTGTCTGTTGCCATATTAAATAAGTTACTAATAGGAAAAGTAAGTCTAAGTATACCCTTACATTGGAGGAGATGTCTGTTTTTCTTTGGAGGAAAATTAGGTTCACACACAAATCCATCTTCCTTTGGTTTGTGTATGTTTGCTTTCCTCCATTCCCAAATCATGATTTGTGTTAATAATTGACCGGGAAGATCATGGTCACATTACGTCTATGAGCAAGTACCGAGACTAAAGAAGTACCAATTAAAATTCTAACTGATTTTTCTGCAATAGTAGGAAGATTCAGTTTTCTAGAAATGTTTTGCCTTTTGGATTAACTTAAGGTCTTTTGAGGGAACCTGCTTCTGAAATATCAATTATATCTTAGTGTCTGAAGCAAACATATTAATGTTCAGTTAAATTACTAATACCAAATATTTATGCACAGGGTCTTTTTGGATTACTTTTTAAAAAGCACTATTTTTCTGCATCCCAGTTATTGGCATTGTAAGATGCAAATGTTTAGTAGTGTAGTCTATAAAACAATGCCTGTTTATATTCTCAGAGCACTTTATCAAGGTATTTAATTGAAGTCTGTAATACCCCCGAGAGTTAACCAATATCAATAGCATCTATTTTTATTAATGAAGAGAAGACTTGTGCTTTCTGCCTATTGTCTAGGGTCACTGAATTCAAATTGGTGTTCAGGTTGCTCAAAAAGTGGTTCAGAAAGAGGCAGGCAAGTCAAGTGTTTGCATTTTGGCATCTGAATGACCTAATTTGAATCATAGTTCAGCTATTAATCAGATGCCTTGAGCATGCTTCTTCTCTGTTCTGAGCTTTCTGGTTCCTTATCCATAAAATAAAGATACAGTCTACTGCATATAGTTGTTGGGAGGGTTAAATGAGATCATGGATGTGCTTTAGTTGGAAGATGATAGTCTTTTCAAGTGATATGATTTTACTTTCCATAAACAAACAAACTGCAAGTTAAGCCAAGGAGGGAAAGTGCTCTGATTTAAGTGACAACTGGAAGCAAGATCTGGAACCGTGTGTGTCCTCTGTTTCTTCATTCTGTACATTCTGTTGTTATTGTTCAGTCACTCAGTCCTGTCCGACTCTTTGTGACCTCCATGGACTGCAGCACGCCAGGCCTCCCTGTCCTTCACCAGCTCCTGGAGCTTGCTCAAACTCATGTCCGTTGAGTCAGTGATGCCATCCAACCATCTCATACTCTGTCGTCCCCTTCTCCTCCTGCCTTCAATCTTTCCCAGCATCAGGGTCTGTTCTAATGAGTTGGCTCCTCGCCTCAGGTGGCCAAAATGTTGGAGGTTCAGCTTCAGCATCAGTCCTTCCAGTGAATATTCAGGATTGATTTCCTTTAGAATTGGCTGGTTTGATACCGGCTTTCTTCATGGGGCTTGTTTGAGGCACGTGTGTTCTTTTAGTTTCAATTTTAAAAATCACAAAAAGAAGAATCCTATTGACCTAGAGGTAGTCTCACATCCCCGTGGCCTGGGTTGTAGAATTGTCAGCCCCACGTAGAAGAAGATTGAAGCAGAGGTAGAAAGTTTTCAAAAGGAGAGGTGTGTTTGTGAATGTGGGGTGGGTGAGAGTAGGGGAAAGCAGGAAATGGTTTCCTTATGAAGGAATGGAGGCATAACACAGGCTAATCGATTCCTTATGAAGAAACCCTGCTCCTAACAGGAGCTAACAATGATAACTTGTTTTTGGTGTTGTAGTACTGTTTTGAAAGCAATAATAAGCTTTTAAGGGATGCAGATTTCTGATACAAATAGGTTAATTACTTATACTCTGGATAAGGATCCAACAGATAAGTTATATTCCAATTGCAGTTAGAGCTAGGATATTTATTTTTATTTCTCATTCATTCAACAGCTAGAGCTCTTCCTCTATGTTGTTGTTTAGTCACTAAGTGGTACCTCTTTTGAGACCCCATGGGTCCAGCCAGGTTCCTCTGTCCATGGAATTTTTCAGGCAAGAATGCTGGAGTGGGTAGGCATTTCCTTCTCCAGGAGATCTTTCTGACCCAAGGATTGAACCCAGGTCTCCTGCTTGGCAGGAGGATTCTTTACCATGGAGCCACCTGGGAAACCTATACTGATGACCAACAGTGCAAGAGTGTTCTCTTTTCTCTAAACCCTCTCCAGCATTTATTGTTTGTAGACATTTTGATGATGGCCATTCTAACTGGTGTGAGGTGATATCTCATTGTAGTTTTTATTTGAATGTCTCTAATAATGAGTGATGTTGAGCATCTTTTCATGCGTTTGTTAGCCATTTGTATGTCTTCTTTGGAGAAATGTCTGTTTAGGTCTTTTTCCCACTTTTTGATTGGGTTGTTTGTTTTTCTGGCATTGAGTTGTATGAGCTGCTTGTATATTTTGGAAATTAATCCTTTGTCAGTTGTTTCATTTGTTATTATT